CGAACAAAAACCTTTAACTAATTTTAGTCGAATTTATATCCCGATCGGGAAATAGGCTGTTAATCTTTTATTGCTCATAATGGGATATACTCTTGATCTAATCACTTTCCACGTTGACCGTGTTTTTTTATTTCTTCCTTTTCGATGTCCACATATATTGGAACACAATTCTTTTCTCATGCGTGTACAATATATAAAATATGCTCGACCAATGTGGCGTGATTTGGGCTTTGGCCTTCTCAAGTTGTTATAATCTCTTGTGCAGAGCTAAACGCTCTTTGGCACTAGATTAAATAAAATGTTTCAATGTGGAAAAATTAGTTGAATGAGTACTTTAAAGAGGATTGGAAACAAAAAAATTTGTGACAAATTTTCTGCTCCGTCTAGTTTTTCTTGCGCTTTCCAACAATGTATTTGGAGTAAGTTTCAATCTTTTTAAATTTTTGGATCAAATTGTTAAATTAAATTTTATATCTTAACGGGTGGGCCAGAAATAATGACACACTCTTGTTCTCTTTTCTTCCGAGCACAACTGACGTTCAAAGATTCCGTTCTAAACTCATTCGATAGAGAATCTCCTGCTCCACAAAATCCATTACCTTCTTTCATTACATATTATTTCATTATTTCAAAAAATAGTGCAGAGTAGGAACAGATATGAAGAATAGCTGCGACCGAAGGAACAGGTTATAATTATTTCTGTACTTGACCTAATTGATTATTTAATAACGTTTATAGATTTAAAGTACATTATGAAGCTGACACATCAAATCAGAGAAATATTCATAACGCATTGTAGATACTCCCTAGCGAACACCGAGAGAAGGGAGGTGTGCGGGTTGTCTTTCATTCAAAGTCATGGAGAGTCGTTCGCAGATATAAGTTCCCAAAGTCAAAAGAAGTGGGTGCGTGCGAGCGTTACGTTCTTCTCTCTCTCGTGCTTAAAAAACATGCTACTTACTGTTTTGAATACAATATATTTACAGTGTTTCTGGTATCAAGTTGATCAACTTATTATATTTAAATATATACTTTTACTCCGTACTGATTCAATTTTATCAAAAATTATCTAGACACCTTGAAATATTACATATCTTTACCGAAAAACGAAAAATGATCGTTTTATTCGATAAACCTTTTATTTTTATTTTTGAGTGATTTGAGACATATCACCTATGAAAAGCGTAAATCTATAAATTACAAAAATCAACTTGTAAAACCAACTTTAGCATGAATACATATAGTCTCGTTTCGTTGATATTGTGTTCCTGGCAAAATAAGTGTCTACAACGCTTGATTAAGATCTCGCAACTTCTTGGAATAGCATTTAATTTGTCCAAGCATCGATTAAGAATCATCTTGTCTTACGGAACGTCTTATTTTGTAGAGAAACATTTTGTGCCAATATCCTGCATGATAATTGGACACCAGTTATGTAACTGTTCGTGTCTCTTCAGTAATCGGTTAAAAATCTCCTCTCTTTTATCTTTTAACACCGCTCTTTCCAAATCCATCATTAAAAGAATGCTAATTTACACCGATTATATTATTCTATTCATCAGAAATTCAACGTTGTCCTACAACAACACAAATTAATTAAGATCAAAGCATACAAAAGACGACTACATAAACACTCAACCTGTACCACGTGGAGCAGGAATTAAACATACTAATACACTACCACATTCAACTGTAACCTATACAATAAATAAATATACACATAACATTTATTTACATGTTAAACTTCATGTAAGGAATAAAAGTTGAAAATCTGAATATTATATGAAATCTGCTCCGATGCCAAATATACTCTAGAATCGTTTACTTACTTTACATGGTACAGTGTGTGCTGGATCAATTTGATTTCCCCAATATCCTCTTCTCACAGGAATAACAGATAATTTTGCTAAAATAATTGCTCCACGTATGGATGTTGCTACTTCTTTTGAGAACTTTAGTCTACTATTTATTGCGCGTGTACCCATGTATATCTTAATACGGTTAGTCAGTTATTCTATGTCATCCAGTATTATTATTCTAGTCGCATCTTTTTTTATCTCGTCTCGATTTCAAACTCTCGCATCTTAAAATAAAATTATAAAAATGATTATTTTCAATTCAAATTGATCAATACAAGTTTTTACCCAGAGGATAACAATATTGAACTTTAACAAAAAAATCTTTTAAAATTAACCACAAGATTAACAGCACGATAATATTAATCAATTTCATGCACAAAAGCTATGGACTTTCGTCAAACATACCACTGGCTTTTGGCTGTTGGCGAAAGTCAATGAGATGTATTGGCGAAAGCTTAGTGGACCTTCACCAATATTGACAAAAATACTATTGGCGAAACTCAGGTAAATCCCCGACCTCTTCTCGAACACCGTTACGGACGGGACAAAATCGATATAAAAAACCATATTTCTCTGCAACAATAAATAATGACTCGGCCTTAATCATATGCACAATATGATTACTCACCAGTACCTACAAACTGACGTAGCATTGATGAACTCAAACAAGTTCCTTGGGGTATATACTGATGTGAGAACATGCAGTGGTACAACTTTGGGGAGACAATAGCTCCGCGAGCCCATTCCGAGCGTTTTTCGTAATTTTCTCAGAATACAACAAGTTTGAAGGAAAGTCTTATATACCATTCGATGCAGCTTTAAACGGCGAACAAAACTATCTATTGCTCAATTGTTATGTGTACTGGTCACATTCATGTTTTGGGAATACTACTGTTAAAAATGACCTATTCAGCATAGTCCACGATAGTATTTCAATGTTTTCACTATGGAAGAACCCAGGTTGCGGTCTACATTATAAATCGAAAGAAAGCTCTTTCAAAACTCTACAAAATAGTGGGTAACTCATTTCTAGTTGATATATACACATGTTTTCACTGGATGACCATCTTTTGTGTAAATCGTATAAAGTCAAAATTTGTTTTCTAAGATTCTCATATTTTCGGAACATTCACACTCATGAACGAAGTCCACCAACTTGAAAATCGTTTAGGGGCCAAAATCCAGTAGATCATAGCTTTATCATTATATATTTATGGTTCTAATTTGAGAATCGCGGTGGACTTCGCTCGTGAGTGTCAATGTCCCGAAAATATGAGAATCTTAGAAAACAAATTTTATGCCATGTCTTTCTCTTACGCATTATTTTCTTTTCTTTGCTCATTTTTTGTATTTTTAGATGCATGTTTATTGTTATTTTCATTTACTACTAATACTTATTGCCTTGTATCTGTGTTTACAATGCAAATATTATTCCTGTATCGGGGTGAGCATGCATGAGATATGAGCACCGCGCCCGAAAAAAGAGACGAGGCGCGGCGGACGACGACGACGACCGCCGCACTATCGAATGGAGCTATTTGCAACATGAGTTGTATTCGGAGAAATCTTGCCAAAAACTCAAAATCCTGTCATTTATCGATCATTGTGAAAATTATTTAAAGTAGTTTTCATCTCCTGTTTAGTCATGTCACCTGGTAGAAATCTAGAAGTATATTCGATGCAGAATTTCATCGTCCATCGAATGAAGCTAGTTTCAACATATATTATGTTTGAAGAAATCTTGCGAAAAGCTCATAATCTGGCTATTTGTTGATCATGGTGAAAATGCCATGACGTAGTTTTGATCTCGTATTAGTGATGTCACATGGTAAAAATCGAGAAGTCTATTCGATGCAGAATTTCATTGTTTATCGAATGAAGTTAGTTTTAACATATATTATGTTTGAAGAAATCTTGCCAAACGCTCAAAATATTGTTATTTATCGATCATTGTGAAAATGTTTTGAAGTAGTTTTGATCTCCTGTTTGGTCATGTGACGTGGTAAAAAGTCTATTCGATGAAGAATTTCATTGTCTATCGAATGAGGTTAGTTTCAACATGTGTTATGTTTGAAGAAATCTTGCGAAAAGCTCATAATCTGGCTATTTGTTGATCATGGTAAAAATGCCATGACGTAGTTTTGATCTCGTGTTAGTGATGTCACATGGTAAAAATCTCTATAGAAGTGTATTCGATGCAGAATTTCTTTGCCTATTGATGCAGCTATTTTCAACATGTGTTCTGTTCGAAGAAATCTTGGGAAAAGCTCATAATCGTGTTATTTATCGATCATTGTGGAAATGCTGTGAAGTAGTTTGAATCTCCTGTTTAGTCATGTCACATCGTAGAAATGTGGAGGTTTATTCCATGCAGAATTTCAGTGTCTGTCGAATGAAGCCAGTTTCATATCTGTTATGTTTCAAGAAATCTTGCCAAAAGCTCAAAATCTTAATATTGATCGAAAATGCTTTAGGACAATGAAATTCTGCATCGAATAGACTTCTAGACTTTTACCATGTGACATCACTAAACACGAGATCAAAACTACTTCAAAGCATTTCCACAATGATCAACAAATAGCCAGATTATGAGCTTTTGGCAAGATTTCCTGAAACATAACAGATGTTGAAACTAACCTCATTCGATAGACAATGAAATTCTGCATCGAACAGACTTCTAGGTTTTTGTCTTTCTCTTCCGCATTATTTTTTTTTCTTTGCTGATTTTTTGTATTTTTAGATTTATGTTTATTGTTATTTTCCTTTACTACTAATACTTATTGCCTGGTATCTGTGTTATAATTACAATAATCTTTTATAATTTTCTTTGAAAATGACTTTGAAAGAACAGCATAGAATGAACGATACGAGAAGTACTGACTAACTGCTTATCAGTAGCATATACTATATAAAGAAAAAGTTTTCTTCTTCCTTTTCGTAATGTTTCATGTGTAAAGTACAATAATATTTTATAATTTTCTTTGAAAATGACTCTGTGAAGAGTCGAAACGTCAGAATTTTAAATCAATAAATTTGAATTTAATCATGATTTAATCTTTTACGCTAGTTGAACCGAATGGCTCTATTGATAATATACTACAATTACTATACATGCCACGGACCCCTTCTCAACATGCTAAAATTCTTTTGACGTTATTTTCGTGAATAACTTGATGTGTTCTACTAACTCTGAAAGTTTCATTCGGTTCTGAGGTGGCCCTTGTAACAATGGTATGTTCTCCAGAGAATTACCTGTTAGTTATTCGTTCCGGTTTGCGTATTGAACGTGAAGGAAGAGTAAATAGTTACATTATTCATACTTTGATATTTGAAAATGCAATACAGTTTTGCTTCCAGACGTTTGCGTACTTGAGTGAGTGTATGTTTAGTTATACATACAAATTTCTTTTATTGTCTCTTGTGTTGCTCTTACCCGTACATATGTGATTGTTGATAAATAAAACACTTTCTTCTTAAGAAAATGTCACAAAGTAATATATATGAGAGGATATAAGCGAAAAAAATGTATTTAGGTGGTCGCCATAGCATAGGATAAACACCTAACGGTCATCAAATAAAACACGAAAAAAATTAATAACAATAAAAACTACTGTTTTGTTTGAAAAAATAAAGTTCAATTTGTTCTTAACTCATTTTTGAATAAAACGCATCGTATATCCAACAACGTACCCAATAAGACCAGAACCAACACTTACAACAGCACCTGCAATCAACTTTTTTCTGTCACTCCACAAAGTTACTAAAACAACAAAAAAAAGAAGATTTAACGTTCGTCTGTTTCAGTCAACGAAAAGATATATTTACATTTTGCTGGTACAGGTTACTTGGCAATAAGCAACCAATGCCATGGATCATACAAAAACGATGTCAGTTGCAACTTAAAGAGGTTTTTTCCTTCTCTCATCCAATTGCAAAGTTAGCAGTTTCGACGTGACGGGTCTTCATCCAAAAGAAAGTTGAAAACAATCGTACTTTGCACGAATTGTGAATGAGAGGTGTAAGCTAGGTGACTTGTTCGAATAAGTGAGTGAAAAAGTGGATTTTTCTTGTCTATACAAAATAATTTTAGGTGGAGAGATATCATTATTGTAGGTTTACTAAATGTTCTAATAAATCATATTTTTCCTACATACAAAGAGAGTACTGTATAGTGTCTGTATTTTAGATTAATTATCGTATATAAAGGAAAATTTTCCAAGTTCTAGTTCTTCTAGTTCTTTTTTTATCGGTCTTTGAGACTTGACTGTCAAGGAATGAAATTTTCTGAAACTTGAAAATATGAGGTTACCACTTTGAATCTATTCTCTACAAACTGGCTTTCGAATCAACTTTCTACGATCTCTGATTGTCGAGATAAACGAGTGAGCTATAGCTTCAAATTGATAATGAGTTCTATGAGGAAAAAAGGCATGATGGATCACTATAATGCGGTAGCTTACGCAGCGCAATAATAAAAACTTTTCTTTTCATTACTATTTCATTCAATAACAACTCTGAGCCGTATTTTCTGTTAATAATCATGTTTTAATTACTTCGAAACTTTCCTCATCATTGCGATTAAGATAATCGCTTTAGACTGATGACTGAGTCGCCGAAACTACGTTGGAACCGAGACAACAATGATTTTATCGGATCGCTTCTTTTTTATAAAAGTTGATTTCAACTATTTAAAACAATTTTTTTTTGTAAAAAACATCGGAGAATAGGTTATTCGATATGCTCTACAAAATAGTTTGCTCCTATTTTCTAAATTCGACTTCTGATTTTTTAGAGCCTTGTTTGAAGAGCACGTTCACGAACTTAGAGCCTAGGCAATTTAAGTTTCACGGCAGATTTCACTCATATCTGATAATCGAAAATGCTTGACAAAAGTCTTTTACCAGTAGGTCATTCATTTTCAGTCTTTTTGGCTAAAAGAGGTAGCAATATTTAAATGTTTTTACATCTGCAAAGATATATCATTCTGAAAAAAAATTACGACGTTATTTTTGAGTTTTTAAAAACCATTACGCGCTGATGTGTCCATTTTTTCTTTTTTTTATTATTCAACTAGTCTCAATACATGATTAAATAAGGTAATTTAAAACAAAACAGCTCTTCGTAGA